CTTGATTTATTACCATAAAATTAAATCATAAAAATTACCTCAATCTATTTTTTAATCTACTTTCTTATTTAATAATATTTTAAAATAAATAAATATATATATATACATATAGAAAAGAAAAAAAATTAAATCATAAATTAAACTAAACACCTTAATTTATTATTATAAAATTACCTTATTTATTAACATTTTAAATTAAACATATATATCTAATAAATAAAATTATATGTTAACCTAAATATCTTAATTTATTACCATAAAATTAAATCACCTAATTACATTAATCTAATTTTTAATTTTTAACCCAATTTCTCATTTAATAATATTTTAAATTAAATTATTGATGATAGATGACAATTAGGGTTAGGGTTGGTTAGGATTAATATTTAATTCGGCGAATAAGATGAATTTTTTTTTTTTCATCAACGGAAGAGAACACTTATTGATGAAATCCAATCGAACAAAAAGATACATCAATAAAAAGGAGTAGTGTTAAAAGCTTCAAAGAAGTATTAAACGATCCCAACTAGATTGGCACCGAAAAGAAAGCCCAATCATTTGCCAATTAAATGAATATGAGGGTATTTTTTCACATTTGATTCAATTTTTGACATTGACTTGGGATTTTTGCATTGTCCATTTTCAATTCGGGATAGTGTGACACACATTTCGTTACTTTTAACGGAAAAACTAACGATAACATTTTAGTTCAAAACCAAGAAGGAGTTCTTTGTCTATATTTGAACTATGAGGGGGTAAAGTGTTCCAAGTCAAAACCACAAAAGGTAAAATAAATTTTACCATTATTTTTTTAATAGAATGATGTGAATATACAAAAATAAATAAGGGAAAATATCAATTTTCACATAAAAAATGAACTTTTTTTTTTGGTCAATATAATTAACGAATTACTCTTGTTAAATAGGTTAAGTGTCATCTAAATTTTTAAAATATATGCATATTTAATTTTAAAAAAAAAAAAAAAAAAAAAAAAAAAAAAAAAAAAAAAAAAAAAAAAAAAAAACTCAAATAATTATGTTAAACTTGTGTATTTGAATGTATTTGCTCAAAACTTCAAAGGAGATTAACGTAATTTTCCATTTCTTTCCTAACAAGGGTGCAAGGAACTTAACATATTATATGCATATCTTATTTTGCATCATTTTAGGTAGGTAGGCATGATATTATTCATAGTTAAATAAGGATGAAACTACAAAAACAAATACAAAAAAACAAAACAAAACAAAGCAAAAAAAGAAGAAAAAGAAACGACAATGGACTCTTATTCCTGTAACTCTCTATAACCATATATGGTAGAGAGTACTGGTAGGAGTAATCACTTAGAAGAAATAATGAGGAGGTGGTGCAGATTTGTGGGATGGCATGTGAGGACCATGTCCATGTCCATGTCCATGTGGCTTCTCTGACGGAGTTGAAGCCGGAGGCATTACCTTCCGCGGTGGCTGGTGAGAGTATCCGCCATGCTCCACCGGAGGATGTGCAAGGTGGTGACCATGGTGGTGGTGACCATGATGAGTTGGTGGCTTCTCTCCCTTGGGAGGTTGAGCAATTGGGGTTGGACCCATGTGCTCATGACGATGTGGCTTCATGTAATCACCAAGGGAAGGAGTGATGAGAACCACCACTGCAAGTAACAGCACTAGCAAGCTCTTGGCGGACATTTTTTATGAGTTTGATAACTAAGTGGAATACTCTTGGTGCCATACTAGGTGAAATGGGGTGGCCTTTTATAATGATCAGGAGCCATTGTTGGTGTGACACGTGTCACCATACAAATTATAATTTAAAGAAAAAATCACCTGTGAAATTAGTTTTGCAATTAAGAGTCTTGGTTCTTCTTTCATAATCATTAATGGTAGACTCATCTCATAGTGTCTGTCTAAACCACTCAAATTTGGTTAATATATTCGCGAAATCCCTCCACTCATTAATGAGTTAGATGCCTTAACACGCTATACAATTGCTAAATCTTGAGATTTTCTCTAATGGGTTCAAGTCTCTACCCAAGTCGAAGTCTCTCGTCCATCACTTGGACTAATCGTTAGTCTTAATTAAGAGTCACCAGCCGCTAATTTTAATTAAGAGTCATTATGATGGGTGCTCTGTTTTAAAATTAAACATACTAATTCCCTCACAATCTATACAAAAACTATTTATAATTTGTTTATTTGTATAGTATTAGTCTTTTTCTAATTTGGTTTTGGATAAAAAGGAACTTGGATGTGAAATTAGAGTAGTGTGTTTTGTTGAGAAATCAATTTGACATAGGTTTCTCATCAGTTGAAATTTTTGACAATTTGATCAAACATTTGTTTTCTTAGCAACAAAACTAAAGTTATGGTACTATAGGGAATGGCCACTGATTGATGCGTAATTGGGAGAAGCTGTAGGAAAAAAGACCATCAGATTGATTGCATTTCAAAAGCATACATAGGATTGTTGTTTTTGTTTTCGTTTCTCGTTGTTGTCATCTCTACGTCTGCTCCAGTTCAATTGACTAATACTAGGAAAGAATCACAATTTGAATGTGAGGTTGTGTTTTGAAACATAAGTTTTTTAAATGAATTTTGAAAAGAAAAAATTTATTTGGTTATGAGTTTGAAAGGAGTTTTGAGTTGTATTTTGAAATTATTTTGGGTTTTTCTTTTAATTTTTAAAAAAATTATTTTATTTTTTTAGGGTAAATATCTTTTATTCTAAATATTTATTTTTTTAAATCTGTGTTGTATTTATTTAAATATTTTAATTATTATTTTTAAATATTTAAAAAAAATTAGAATATATTTTTATTTTTAATATATAATTTTTATTTTTAATATTTTATTTTATTTTTGAAATATTTTTATATATTTTTTAATTTTTTTAATATTTTTTAAATTTTAAAAAAAATTAGATCAATATATATATCTAAATCAAAACAAATTATTTGTCCAATACTTAAAAAAATAACGAAATACTATTTTTGAAAAAAGAAAAAATATTTTTTCAAAAGTAAAAATTCAAAAAATAATAAAAAATAATTTTAAAGAACAAAATAAAAAAAAAATTGAATTTTTTTTTTGAAAAAATATAATTTTAAAAAGTTTTTTGGTTATGAGTTTTTTTAAATAATTTTTTTAAAAGAGTTTTAAAAATTTTGCTTTTTAAAAAGAGTTTTGATTTGGATATTTAGTTAAAAAATTTGAAAAGAATTTTAATTTTTTTTTTATTGGAATCACGATTCTAAAACTTAACCAAATGCTATCTAAATGTATTAGCATAATTTCTAGAAATTTTGATAATACATTTGATGTGTCTAGCGTTTTTTAGATGAATTTCAGATCCTCTCAAATCATGGGAAGCGCCCCCACATTGACATTTTTGTTGTTTTCCATTGGCGATGGTGTGGCGAGTAGATCTATGGTTATCAGTTGTGTTATGAATATAAATTTTTTTTTTTACATAATTAGATAGATGCGAGACAAAGCGTGAATTCTCACATAGATGCAATTTAGCAATTAAACTTTTAGTTTTTTTTTTTTTTTTTTTGGAATTTAACAAGCTAATAATAATTAGTTTTTATTTTTATTTTTTGGCTTATTTAGCCAAAAATCAGTTTTTTAGTATGAAAAATATTATAGGCCTCAAATTTTCTATCAAATAAATGACCAAATGTCTCAAATTTTCTACTGAATAAATGACCAAATGCCTCACATGATTGTAGAGTTTGTTGGTGGGAGAGATACTTCAAACTACTTATGGTAGCTTGAAATAAAATTCAGAGAAATAAATTTGGGAGATAAACAAACAAACTTTATCAATTATTGAAAACTATTACAGAACAAGGTGAAAACTCTCTCTGTCTCTCCAACTCTTACACTATTTTCTTCTTCTCTCTCACACTCTGAATTCTCAAAATACAATAGCTATATATAGATAAAACTAGTAATGTGAAACCATTAAATGCAAATGCAGTTAAGGCTGTGAATTTCAAACGGTTGCAACCACTGTTGAAAAACTTGATTCCGGCCTCCATACTTCTACTCTTAGGCCGGTGGAAATTTTTTATTATTATTATTATTATAGGTGAAATAAGATTACTTCACAACATCCCCCTTTAATCTTGATTCTACATGCTGCTTCATCCCGAGCACCATCTTCATTCTGTTGAACAAATCATTTTTCAATGGCTTCGTGAAAATATCTGCAAGCTGATCTTGAGATTTGCAAAGAAATAATTTCACCTCTTTATTTTTCACATGCTCTCGAAAGAAAAGATAGTGAGTGTCAATATGCTTACTTCTTTCACGATAAACTGGGTTCTTTGCTAATGCAATTGTAGAACGATTATCAACATAGATCTCAATAGGATTTTCTTGTGGAAATCCTAAATGCTTCGGCACATTTCTTAACCAAATTGCATGGCACACAGTTCAGTTGGCTGCAACGTACTCAACTTCGCAAGTTGACGGTGTCACAATAGCTTGTTTCTTGAACGACCAAGTAAACATTGTATTTCCCATAAAGAAAGCAAACCCAGCAGTACTCTTTCGTTCATCTAAATCACGTCCCCAGTCACTATCTGAATAGCCAACAAGACTGAAATTACCAATTGGTTTATAGAATAAACTATCATCAATTGTACCTTTGATGTAGCAAAGAATTCTCTTTGCTGTATAAAGGTGTGACTGATCCGGTGTTTCCATATATCTGCTAATCAGTTCTACTCCATAGAGTATGTCTGGCCTGGTGTAAGTAAGATAGCGAAGACTTCCAACTAAGCTCTTGAAATAAGTTGGATCCACATCACCCATCGTTGTACCTTTTTTGAGCTCCACTCCACTGTCTACAGGAATGTTCACTGGATTGCAATTCTCCATTCCATATCTCTTGAGAATTTCCTTGGCATAGCCACTTTGGGAAATAAAAATTCCATCTTTTCTTTGTGCCACTTCAATGCCGAGAAAATGAGCCATAAATCTAATATCTGTCATTTCAAATTCTTGGACCATGCTTCTTTTAAATTTTTCGAACATGGTTGTATTGTTTCCAGTGAAAATTAGATTATCAACATAAAGACAAGCAAACAACATGCTTCCATCATCTTCCTTCTTCAAATATAATGTGTGCTCATATGGGCATTTTTCAAAACCATTGTCATGAAAATACTAATCAATTCTAGTATTCCATGCACGCGGGGCTTGCTTCAATCCATAAAGTGTTTTCTTCAATTTGTACACTTTGTCTTCATGCCCATTCTGAACATACTCCGAAAGTTGTTCAATATAGATTTGTTCTTCAAGAAAACTATTAAGAAATGCAGACTTCACATCAAGTTGATAGATCTGCCACTTGTGTTGGGCAGCCGAAGAAATCATTAGCCTGATAGTCTCCAACCAGGCAACTGGAGCAAACACCTCTCCATAATCAATTCCAGCTCTCTGCTTGTAACCTTTTGCCACTAATCTTGCCTTATAGCGTTGCACTTCACCTTGCACATTTCTCTTTGTCTTGTACACCCATTTCACTCCAATGGGTTTGTGCCCCTCTGGTAGACTGATAAGCTTCCATGTGTCATTTTTCTCAATGGCATGAATTTCTTCATCCATTGTTTTCTTCTATTTATCTTCTTGGATGGCTTCTGAGAAAGTAAGTGGATCACTATCTACGAGTAGGCAAAACAAATTCAAATCTTCTTCTTCTGTAGCTTCATATATCTCCTGCAAATTTCTCATTGGTCTTGGCTATTTAAAAAGCTATCATTTGATGATGATGATGATGATGATGATGACGATGATGTAGTAGCATTTCTGTGAGAAACTGGCGATCTAGGTGCAGGTATTCTATGTGAAGGAGTTTGTGGTTCATCTTGAACTTCTCTTGTGATTTCAACAGAGCTTTTGATGTTTCATCTTCAAGAATGAGTTCTGCGTCTTTAACAACTTCATCTCGATTCCAGTTTCAATCTTCTTTTTCTTCAAATATCACATCTCTACTCATGATCACCTTTCTGGTAATGGGATTATACAACTTGTCTCTCATTGTTCTGTCTCCATATCCGAGAAGGATACATTTTTCTCCCTTATCATCGAGCTCGTTTCTTCTTGCTTCTGGAATCTTGGTGTACAGAACACACCCAAATATTCTGAGATGGTTGACACTTGGCTTATGTGAACTCCAAGCCTTTTCTGGAGTTATAGAGTGAAGGCTCCTAGTTGGGCATCTATTTAGTAGATACACATCACATGATACAGCTTCAACCCAAAATTGCTTGGGCAATCCTTTTCCTTTCAACATACTCCTTGCCATATCTAAGATTGTGTGATTCTTCCTTTCAACAACACCATTCATATGTAGCGTATAGGATGGTGTTGTTTGATGCTTGATTCCATGCTCTTTACAAAATATTTCAAAAACATCAGATGTATATTCTTCACCTTGATCTGACCGCAATGTCTTAATGTAGTAGCCACTTTGCTTTTCTATAAAAGCTTTGAATTCTTTGAAGATACTGAACACCTCCGACTTTTTTTTAAGAAAATACATCCATGTCTTCGAACTATAATCATCAATAAAGGTGAAAAAATATATATTCTGTCCATTTGACTTTGGCTTCAATAGACCACACACATCAGTGTGCACTAGCTTGATCTCCACTTCACTTCTTTGGCAAAGCTAGTTTTGTGATGCTTCCCAAGAATGCAGCTTTCATAGACGTCATTAGTATGAGCAATATGAGGAAGTCCTTTCACCATATTCTTGCTTGACAATAGCTTCAAACTTCCAAAGTTGAGATGTCCAAACCTCAAATGCCATAGCCAGTCTTTGTCTTTGATGATGGCACTTAAACACTTCACAGCATCACGTTGGATGTTCGATGCAAACATCCGATTCTTGGGCATTCTCACCTGAGCGATCAAATTACCATGATTGTCTTTGATGGTAAGATGACATTCTTTCATGCTGATGTCGTATCCTTTCTCTAGGAGTTGTCCCATACTCAAAATATTGTTCTTCATGGCAAGAACATAATAAACATTGGAGATGTAATCATGATCTCCATTCTTGAACTTGATCAGAATATTGCCTCTTCCTTTCACTGGAGTCTTTGAAGAATCACCAAATGAGACTTGTGCTTGTACAGTCTCGTCAAGCTCGACGGACAACTCTCTTTTACCACACATGTGATTATTGGCTCCCGAATCTAGATACCAAACATTGTTTAGGTGTTCAGTATCTCCATGGTGGACAAACAGAATTGTAGGTCTGACTTTGTTTGTTTCATGCTCGGCAAAATTTGCTTGCTCTATGGCTGCTGTTGTTGCTTTACTTTGGCATTCATTGCTGTAATGCCCAAACTCATGGCAATGGTGGCACTGAACATTGCTTTTGTCAAATCCTGGTCGATTGTTATAACCACCTCATCTTCCTCTTGTTCTTCCTCTTGGAGCAAAGTGTGGTTGACTTCTTCCTCCTCCGACTGGACCTCTTCTGTCTCTTTCTCAAAAACCAAAACTTCGGTTATTGTATCCATGGCCACTTCCTCAGCCTTTTTGTGATATCCTTCCTTGCTCATTTTTATCATCTCTAAAAGACAGCTTTGATTGAAGAGCTTGCTCTAGAGAACTTGAGGGAGTGTTCTTGTTGATCCTTTGTTCATGAATCTCAAGTGTGTCCATCAACTCATCGGTGGTTATGGCACTGAGATCCTTAGACTCTTCTATTGCTACAACTATGTGCTCGAATTTGGGACTAAGTGATCGTAGAATCTTCTCTATCACTTGAAGAGATTCCATCTTCTCTCCATATCTTCTCATCTGATTAACAATGGTCAATGTTTTGTTGAAGTACTTAGAAATTGACTCATTCTCATTCATGTGCAGCATCTCGAATTTGCCATGCAACACCTGGAGTCGAACTCCGATCGTCTTCTCAATTCCACGGTATGAATTGCGAAGAATACTTCATCCCTCTTTAGAGGTTGCTACTGCTAAAATCTTCTCAAAGCTTGACTCATCAATGCCTTGATAGAATAGATACAAGGCCTTTTTATCTCTCTTCCTTGAATCTTTTAACATAGTCTTCTGAGTTTCATTTAAATTTCCTTCATCTTCGAGAGTAGCTAGCTCGTCATATCCTCAATCCACTAACTCTCACAAATCTTGTGAGGCCAGTAGGACTTGCAATTGAATACTCCAATTTTCATAGTTCTCCTTGTTGAGTTTTGGAAACTGGGGTTAAAAGAAATTGTTTGTGTTGGCCATTGGTTGAATTTAAGAAATCTACAAATTTTGACCTTACAGATGTCTTCGGAATATTCAAAATAGTTAGAAATCACTATTGGATCACCAAAAAGGGAATTCAAACGGTTTAGATCTAGCAAAAATAATTAAATAGTTCAGATCGGCGGAATCTGGAACTTCTGAGAAGCACCGGATAATTTCTCCAAATCGGATGACATCAGCGGTATGGCGGCGTGGCTCGGCTCGGCTTCTGGCTCGCTTAGGCTAATGGTTCAGCTTGACGTCAACAATGATGTCATCAATGACGTCATCTCCTGGATACAGATCCAGATCTGGGCTAATGGATCGGATCGTACGTTAGACGGGTCGAACTCTACAAATTCGGGCGAAAAAAATGCATGGTAGCGCATGGCCGCGCTACTACGCGTGGTGGTAGCGTCGACGGCGTATGGGGCGCGTACGAGCTCTATAGGATTCGATTTTTAACGTGGTTTTTTGCAGTGTGATCATCTCGATGAGACCTACACACTGGTGTGACCAAAAGTTTATTTCAACAACTTTGATTTCTGGGCAAGATTTGAAACGATGCTTTGTTCTATTGTTTTTTTTTAAAAATAGGCCCTTCTGGTGCTATGATACCACTGTTGGTTGGAGAAGGACCTCAAACTACTTTTGGTAGCTTGAAATAAAATTCAGAGAAATAAATTTGGGAGACAAACAGGCAAACTTTTTCAATTACTGAAAACAATTACAAAACAAGGTGAGACTCTCCCTATCTCTGCAACTCTTACACTCTTTTCTTCTTCTCTCCCGCACTTTGAATTCTCAAAATACAATGACTATATATAGATAAAATTAGTAATGTGAAACCATTAAATGCAAATGCAGCTAAGGTTGTGAATTTCAAGCGGTTGCAACCACTATTGAAAAACTTGATTTCAGCCTCCATATTTCTACTCTTAGGCCGGTGGAAAAAAAAAAAATTTTGACCTTACAGATGTCTTCAGAATATTCCAAATAGTTAGAAATCACTATTGGATCACCAAAAAGGGAATTCAAACGGTTTAGATCTAGCAAAAATAATTAAATAGTTCAGATCGGCGGAATCTGGAACTTCTGAGAAGCACCAGATAATTTCTCGAAATCGGATGACATCAGCGGTATGGCGGCGTGGCTCGGCTCGGTTTGCGGCTTGGCAGCGCGGCTCGGCTCAGCTCGGCTTCTGGCTCGCTTAGGTTAATGGTTCAGCTTGACGTCAACAATGATGTCATCAATGACGTCATCTCCTGGATACAGATCCAGATCTGGGCTAATGGATCGGATTGTACGTTAGACGGGTCGAACTCTGCCAATTCGGGCGAAAAAAATGCATGGTAGCGCGTGGCCGTGTTACTACGCGTGGTGACAGCGTCGACAGCATATGGGGCGCGTACGAGCTCTATAGGATTCGGTTTTTAACGTGGTTTTTTGCAGTGTGATCATCTTGATGAGACCTACACGCTGGTGTGACCAAAAGTTTATTTCAACAACTTTGATTTCTGGGCAAGATTTGAAACGATGCTTTGTTCTACTGTTTTTTTTTTAAAAAATAGGCCCTTCTGGTGCTATGATACCACTATTGGTTGGAGAAGGACCTCAAACTACTTTTGGTAGCTTGAAATAAAATTCAGAGAAATAAATTTGGGAGACGAACAAGCAAACTTTATCAATTACTGAAAACAATTACAAAACAATGTGAGAACTCTCCCTGTCTCTGCAACTCTTACACT